GGGGGAGGGTTGATTACATTTCTATAATAAGCTTAAATATTTTTATTAAAAAAAGCTCAGTACACTTATTCTTCTTATTGCCCCTGTAAGTTTCTATCTTACAGTGCGTTGTGTACCTTAGTTATGTATTTCTCCTATTTGATTGTACATTAGATAGCAAAGCGCATAAAGCTTGCTGTTTAGCGGGAATTTAATTGCGCTTTACAAATGCTTCCTGTTATCCATTATTATTACATTAGTTACCTGATCATTTCTCCACAATACGGACAGTTCACCACGTTATCTCATTTCAATTTATTTTTTTTACTGTCCAGGCTTCTATGGGGAGACGAACCTGGACCGACTTTCCCTGGACGAGGTCAACCACGCAGCCAATGACCTGTTCAGGCTCGCGTGGGCAGCAATTCAAACTTCTGACAACGATGAAAAGGTGAAAATCATGGTGATATTATTTATGTATTTATTTAGTTATTTATTCGTTTATATTCTATTTATCTGTTTTATTCATTTATTCTATTTTCTCTTAAACTTGTGGCAATATCCTAGACCGTGCGCTCCAACGTAATTTCTGTTCACTATGGAGTGCACTATTTGACTCAGTTTGGAGTCAAACGAAGAAGAAAGAGAGAGTGACGGTACTTTTGCATTGGCTTATAGTTATAGTGGAATGGTGTTTTGCCTTTCTCTTGGGCAGCGATTTTTTTTGGTTTCATTTTGGGGGTTTTAGAGAGCAAAAGGATGCAGCCATTACAGTGTCTAGGATATTATAATATTTCTGGTCTATGTGTTTTCTTAAGTCAAGTGATATCTTGTGGTAGTACTATAGCGCTTTAAGATTTCTGCAGCCAACACACTAGAACGTAGGTCTACACGCACTATGATTACTTGCAACTGTGTTCATCAAGCCAAAAAAAATGTGTGTGGGTGTGCGTGTGCGTGTGTGTGGGTGTGGGGAGGGGGGTAGGTCCGGCCCTATCATTGTCTAACCCCACACTGGGTATTCTGAAGGCTTATTTTGTCATTTAAACCGGAATTTAATCAATACAATTTCACTTTTATCTGAAAACAAAAACAACAACACATTTTATTATAACTTTTTAAAATGAAATTGAATCATTCTTATACTCATGGTGACAAATGTTATTAAATAACAGATTAAGAAGAACATTATGTAAATTTTACATAATGCACTTTTGACCATAACGCTGAAAACGCAGTATAATGTCTAACATGTGCAGAAACAAATGGTGGACAGCCTGGCGGACAAAGTCCCTTCTTACCTTCAGTACTTCGAGGACACGCTTGAGGCCAGCAACACCGACTTCTTCCTAGGCTCAAACGTAAGTGTCCAATGGCTAGTTCGGTGGTCACTGTAAGTCCTTTTTTGCTGACATCTACTTTCATTACACATGGGACTGGGTGGTTAGAGGATGTTCTGACGCGATTTGCTCCTTCTTTCCCATCCAATATCTATCGTCCTTATATCTCTTCCTTTTTGTGTTTGGTAATACTTTGTAACGACTCTGATTTTCGGCAATTATATGACCTAAATGTGTTGCATGAGCAGTAAAACTCTTGCTAGAGCATAAAACAAAGATTACACGTGGACGTTGTTTCATGCAGTCCTCTTTAATTAAGCAAAACAACGCAAATGTTGCAGGATTTGCGCAAAACTATTTCAAGGTGCCGGTATTCGAGTGCTTGAACGTGTGGTAACATCTACTAACTTTTTTTAAAGTTTGAAAGAACACCGAAAGGGGTTTTTTTTTACAGTCAAAAGCTATTGACTTAAAAACTTTTTGAAGAATCAGAAGTCATGGACACTCGTTCTTGTTACTGATGGGGGATTATTACGGCTTACCTAAAGAGCAATTCATTATGTTCTCCCAGTGGGCCTACTATGAAAATCTGCCGCGCTCCCGATTTCAAACCAGTGTCTGTGGTGTAGCGATAAGGCGCTTCGTGGTCGGACACAAAGGACCTGACTTCGATTTCCGAATGGAGAGAAATTTTTATCCAGTATCTCGGTCTATAGTCTATGTGCTGGGATATTGTATTCTTCTCAGCCTCTCAGCACAGTTTGGCCTTGACAGTAGGGTTGGAAGCCCACCTCCCAAATTATCTAAATTGTGAGGCAGCGTGGTGGAATCAGGCTCTCGTAAATTTTTTGGCGTGTAGAGTTATTGGTATCATCTTAAAGCTTGTTCACTTATCTTTCTTAGGATGAAAAATATATCCATTTATCTTGACTACAAGTCGAGATATTTGCGAATGAAGAAGGCGGGGTTACCTGTTTTCAGGGGTAAAATTAGTGACAAAATTGCCGCCAAAGATTAGTTATTTCCTTAGCTTAAGAGTCCGTGGTAATAGAAAATTTTCATTTTTTGTGCCTTTAAATGACGTTTTTCAGAAAAAATCCGCACAGAAATTAGTGCCTTAATGGGCATGGAAGGTGTTGAGCCAAAATACAAAAATTAAATAAAAATTCACAAACCTGTGGAAAAATGCAGGTTTCTTCACTTTGATTATTTTGACGAGAGCCTGATTCCACCACGCTGCCTCACAATTGTGTCGATGGGGGTGTAAAAACAACTGCATTAATTTTTTTTTCAGATCACAGTGTCTGACATCTGTGTCTACGACATCCTGTGGCGACTCCAGGTGCGCGGTTTGGCGTCGGTGGAGAATTTTCCCAAAGTGGACTATCTCATGAGTCTGGTGGAGCAGCGACTGGCTAATGTAAACTTCAAGAGAGGAGAACCACTCTACTGATGGCCACAAAGGCGAAAATGGGGGGTCAGACTACAAGTGGCCTGCCTCTGTTAACTTCAAGTTCAAGACTGCAGGCTTCTGAATCATTCAGCGCTAGAAGTAGAGGGGGACGAAAAGCACATCTTTTGACCTATGTAAACTTCATAGAATGGAGGTATCATATATAGGACGCCTTGGGTTCTATTATTTTGAGTCAGTATGTCGGAACAATTCATTTCCAAGAAAAAAGAATGCATTGATCCTTGATATTGTTTCCCCCGTTGTATAAATGTACATGTGTAACATTTTCATTTTGTAGTTGTAGTGACAGAAAGAGAGAGAGAGAAAGAGAGAGAGATAGAGAGAGAGAGAGAGAGAGAGAGAGAGAGAGAGAGAGAGAGAGAGAGAGAGAGACAGATATTAACTTTGATTAAGAAGTAATGTATATGATGCAATGAATGTATATTATGTTGCAAAAACTGGTGAAAGCACACTGCTGATTTCTTCCAGTTGAGGCCAATAAAGTACTCGCTATATCGTATTTTATTGTTGATTGTCCAGTTCTTTCTCTTGAGAGGTTTTACGTTCTATGTGGGGTAATCGCAGTACTAAATCTGTTTCATATTTCCCTAACTTGGACTAATGTGGAACCTGGCCCTTTTGCCTACATGTTCCTCGATCTATTTTTATACACTGGTGTGGTAAAGTAGGTAGACGAAATATGAAAAAGGAAAACACGAACAACACTTACTTCATGTGTTATATAATAATAATAATATTGGATTGCATGCGCATATCCACTTATACAATGCTCTATGCGCTTAGCATGAAACATATTTATAAACAAAAGAAAAATGCATGTAATAACAAACAATGCCTGCATTCCTCAGATACTCAAACTGCTTGCCGTTGGTATTCACGCTTTCCTCAAGTAACCTTAAATCAAGTGAGAATTTTCACGGTATTCTAAGGATGTACATTCGGAGGTCTCGTGTATTACAGAATTGACCTAGTTTCTCACTCACTATCTTTTATCGCGTTTTCAAAGACACGAACTAGAAGAACTCACAGCTTTCAAAGACACGAACTAGAAGAACTCACAGCTTTCAAAGACACGAACTAGAAGAACTGACAGCTTTCAAAGAGAAACAGGCCCACAAGGGTTGCTGGGCAATACTTCAATTTCAGCTGGTCTGGTTTGATTATGTTTAAAGTGTCTGTTGATCTTGAGGCATCATCTTAGCTGTAGTGCCCATTACAATCTGTGGTCTAGAAGTCTAGTAGGCAGTCAGGCTCATAACCAAAAGGTCATGGGTTCGAACCATGTTACGGACCCGACATTGTGTCCTTGAGAAAGGCACCCAACAGGAATGTTCTACTGTTTTTCACTACACCCATGTGGGAATGGATACCTAGCTATTATCATTGACAGTGACAGATCTTGGCAGTATTTGAGCACCTAATAAGCTGTTTGTACTGTATGCTGCCTGGGACACAAGGAATGTTTTTGAATGCTCCAGGGTCTGCTGGGTAATATTAACTTTAATACAGTCTGGTACACAAACATGGCGAACATGCACAGAGCAAAACAGACTCATTGGGAAAAGACTTTCAGGTCCTAAATCTTTTTCTTTCACATTGCGAAAATCGTAAATAACTAAAAACTTTCTCCGCACCCTCCGCCCATTTCGCTATGTCCATGCTAGACTGGTTGTAAAGTGCATAAAGCATGGTGTGGAGCATGGATATGCTCTGTAGAACGCAATTATCATTACTATTAGTGATAAAGCTGGGCCGAGAATAAATCTTTGAAAAGAAAGCTAGTTGGATTTTAAAACGCACCATACCCAGGACATATTTTTTCTTCTTCTTTTCCTGTAGTGTTCATTCTAGGTTGGTGCCCTGAAGTATATGCGCCGGAATCTGTTGTAACACCAAGGTCACTGGAGAAGTAGAGCCTAAGAATTTAATTTCTATCAGTGTGTTAAGTGAGAGGAAAAACCTTGAAAACTCCCTCAATTACTCAAGCTCAAGAACACTCTTTAAAGGATTCAAATCAGGTCACCAAGACAGGTACTCAAGTGAAGTAGAAAAAAATAAAATTAAACAACAAAAAATGATACAATGCAGCGGTAGCAGATCCTACAAAATTTTATTTAGACAGTGAGCAATAGACAGTAAAAACTCATGAAAGAATACAGTTGATATAATTCATAAGTCCAACATCAGCATGGGAATGTCTGCAATTTCACTGAATGCAATAACTAAGATGGTTGTCAAATATTCCCTGGACATGCCATTGTATCAACAATAAAATCTTTTGATAAATGAAAACAAAGAACATGAATAAACGATTTTAGATAGGAATTGGAAAAATGCAACATTAAAAAATATACCCCAATCACAAAAGTCGCAAAAATAATTAGAAGCACTATAAATAGTAAAAGGCTGAACTGTGATTGGGAAGGGGTGTCGGGAAAAGCATGCATCTTCAGCTGCAAAGTTAATAGGCCTACATATAAATAGTCTGAGTTTCAATTCCAGGATCTTTCTCGGTTACACAAAAAAAAGTATTTTAGAAACACATATATTATAGTGAAAAATTCTTCTCCTACAGCACACAATCTTGTTTTACTTCCTTTATATAAATAATTTATTTTTGGCAACTTTTCAATCCACTCTGGATTCGAAGTATCCTGTCATTTGACGTTCAAGACAAAAATACAAGAGTGAGATGTTTTCAGTTAGACCCTTGACAAAAACAAAGAATTGAGTTAGAGAGCCACTTTGAAAGTTCCATCATTGGTAGATACCCAGCTTTTCATAGCCTTTTGTTCCGAATGAAAATTTCAGATGAAGGCCCCATAGATGTCATGTATTGACAGCCAAGAAGTGACAAGCTGAAAATCTCACTTTGTAACAGGCCAAGAGCTTTTTAGTCTCACTGGGTCTGTTAGTGCTGCCTCAAAAGTAATGGCGGAAGAAAATTTTTCATAACAGAGCAAACAATGGTATTATATTGAAGCAGATTTAATATAAGATAGAGGTTTCGATATGTATCTACTTTTGCTGCAAAAATAAAATGATCAAGCTTGTCTGGAAACAAGAAAAAGTCAACACTGTACAATCTGTAAAAATTCAGCAGACGTTCAAAAGGAGAAGACTGTATATCTAATGTCTTGAAACTTCATACACAATTCATACAAAATGACAAAGTGAACAAAGAGGAAATAATCGAAGAATGAAATCACCTGAATTAGAGACAGGCCTTTCATGTTGATTTCTAACCAGTTTGCACTCGCATGGGAAAGAAGACAAACAATAAAGTCTGATGATTGCACCCTCCATTTAAAAACACTGGCCTAATAACTTTCAAGACCTATAAAATCTAACCTAAAATGGCAGTGCAAAGGGTACAATGTTAAACAATAATAATTCCTATACATGACCTGTATCACATTTATTCACACGACTCACGAACATGTTAATAAGCACTGAATAATAATTTATATGAAATGAGGAAAACAGAAAAATATAGATGAAAGACTCTCAAGAAAATCTAAATACATGTTATTCAAATGAAGTATCACAATAATGAATACCTAAAAATATGAACAAATGATTTTGACAGCTTGGTACAGCAGGGTCTGTGCAAAACATGAAAATTTATTAAATGGCTTGATGAAACCCCAAAACTGTTGGTTGGTTTTAGACTTTGACAGTCATATGTGACCTATAAATTTTGTAAACAGTGAAATATGTTCTTCACAAAAATTGTATTACCAGCAACTGGCAACAGCCAGCTTCACATTTGACCTTTTTTCATCTGTTCTGCTTTATACGGAGAAAACCAGCTCTCTGAGTTCAGAGGCACAGAAGGAGTACTCCTCATATATATCACACACATACACAAGGTCAACACAAAGTGTTTGAAACTGCAGCTGAAAATTATAAAATTTGTGAGAAAATAACGCTGAACGCAAATGCTTTGTCCTCTACACAGATAAACCTATTCTCTACCTGGTTTTCTATTGAATTTGGCTAAATCGAACAAAAGATTATTGAATCAGGCTGAAAAGAGAATCGAATAAAACAAAATCACTTTAATATCACTGCATGACTAATGGGATAACTGCTACACACTTAAGCTTCTAATATAAATTATAATGTTTAGCATTTCAGCGTCCAATATATCTAATTTAGCATTTCAATGTCCAACCTGAGTTGGACAAATATCTCTAGTACTGGTAATAATTAAGATCTTGTAAGACTTTTACGACACTCACGAATGCATACCATCATTTGAGCACACAGTCCCAAGTTTAGCAAAATAGAACATTGGCAGCAATCAGTAGGAAGACACAGCAGAAAAACGAAACTCAAGATAAAACAAAATGTATTGTTTTGTTTTAGTAGAGGTTTTACGGCGCTCGCAACTGCATAAGGTCATATAAACGCCAGAAGATAAGAGGTGTTACAAGAGAGTAACAAACATAAAAAAGAACAAGGGGAGATAAGGACGATAGATGTTTGATAGGAAAGAAGAAGCAAACCACACCAGAGCACCCGCCAACCACCCACACAAAATGTATGTACTGACAGATTTTGCCAATGCACAAAAAGCAAAATATAGATATAGACATACTATTTATACGGGCTACCCACCCATCAGTATAGTGTATGTTTTAGTAATTAGCAAATAAAAAATTAGTAACCTGACTTAAAAATTTGAAGTATGTCCATGGATCATCTCTTCCCTGCAGTGTCAAGGGCAGGGGTTAGTAAGTGTGTTACGGCGCTCGCAACTGCATAAGGTCATATATGAGCGCGCAGGACACATTAGACATTTTCAGTCGGTAGGAAATTTTGAATTTTGGCCGAAGCCTACTCTTATCGATTTTAGATCAACATGGCAGGGGATGAAGTCAAGCAAGTATAAAAGTAACGCAAACAAAGGGAGGATGAAAAATAAGTGGTCTTGATGGGCTCGTCACTGGCTGAGAAACAAAAAAAGTGCAGAAAAGGGGCTGTTGTATTAAG